CACCCACACACACACACACACACACACACACACACACACACACACACACACACACACACACACACACACACACACACACACACACACACACACACACACACACACACACACACACACACACACACACACACACACACACACACACACACACACACACACACACACACACACACACACACACACACACACACACACACACACACACACACACACACACACACACACACACACACACACACACACACACACACACACACACACACACACACACACACACACACACACACACACACACACACACACACACACACACACACACACACACACACACACACACACACACACACACACACACACACACACACACACACACACACACACACACACACACACACACACACACACACACACACACACACACACACACACACACACACACACACACACACACACACACACACACACACACACACACACACACACACACACACACACACACACACACACACACACACACACACACACACACACACACACACACACACACACACACACACACACACACACACACACACACACACACACACACACACACACACACACACACACACACACACACACACACACTCACACACACGCAAATTCAGACATCGTAACGGGAGATTTGGATATTGCCTTTATTTTTATAGTGTGCCAGGTTCCCTCGATTCCTCGCTCATCTGATGGCTGTTTACATTTGCCGATTAGCCTTAACTGATAGAATATCGCTTTTGGGAAAAAGTTACTAGTTTAGATAAGCTACAATATTTCTCGACTCAATCGCTAAAGTTCATTACGTAAAGTAGTATTAAGAACTAAATAAATAAATATACTTAAGTTACAGAGAGCTCTATAGCGCCTAGTTGCTGAGATAAAGCTTCAGCAAGTAATTCTAACGCCTGTCATGTCAAATCCTAATGTAGACACGTTACTTTTTCATGGCCCGCCTTTACGCGTAGTTGAAGACAGAGGATTGTTTAGAGCTCTGAACCACAATAAAACCCACTGATGTATAAGGAGGCCCTCGCATACCACCAAGATCTGTCAATATTACACTTTTTGGATATCCAAGGAAGTAGAATTTGTAGAACGCTTCGTTTCGCTTATTTATGTCTGTTTTCACTAAAAAAATTATATAGAGTGTTTAGTTTTTTTTACTATTCGACTACCCATTAGCGTAATACCAAATGATGTTTGCCAAAAGAGCTGCAGTGCATGTTATCGACTATATATTGAGCCTGCAGAAAGGTAACCGGGCAGGTAACCAGGTTTATTTGCTAACTAACTCTTTATAATGGGAATCATACGAAATATTCTTGCAGCTAGTCAATTTTTCGGATACGAACACGCCTCCCTTACCTTTCTTTATACACTTTCTTATAATCCACGCTTAAATCATACATTGTAAAAGTGCCAAGCCTGATACGATTACTATGTCTATGATTTACAATACGATCGAGCTTCAGAGCTACATGATCTTCTGATGCTTAGTCTAACGACTGTACATACACCGCTTCTATTTTCACCGAGTCGTTTGCTTCCACGTATATTTGTATGCCTATATTCTATTCCTAAAAGCTTCAATAATATTTCGAATTAGGAAGTAACAGGCGTAACAACCATCTAATTCTTTCCATTGATTTGTGCTAATCACACCTTCCGCAGTGTTGATGCCGAGACTCACCATGAGCTGCAATGACGGTACGTAGCATGTACAATTTTATAACTGATATTTAACTAATGGACAAGTCTATAGTAATGTTATTGCACTGACCTGTACCTATTCACTGACTAGACAGCGTCTGATAAAAATAGCCTTCTGAGAAATCGATACTGCAAAGATACGAAACCTGCATGACAGCCTTATAGGACCGATTGCGATCTACGACTTAGATTTTTCTTCGCTATGTCTCGCCTTAAATAAGACATTCCCTATATCGCCTTGAATACTGGGCCTGTCATGCTTTAGCTGAACCTACAAAAGGGAGTGGCTTGGGGCAAAAGGGGGAGAACCTAATGAGTACTACCTATTTCTCTTGATGGATCAGCGATAATAGCATATGAACAAAAAACTCGTTCATCATCTTAAGAAGTGTGATTATTGCTTAGCCCAACGTGGGCTGAAGCAGACAACATTTTCACGGTCAACGTGAACTACGGTAACGAAACCCAGCTATGCATAGATGACGAATCTCCAAAAAAAGCTGACATTTCTGGGTCTCGTTTCATCGGTCGTCTGTGACCTGTTATTCCGTTTAGATGCTGAATGTATAGTGTGAATGAAAACCCAGAATATACATAAAGAAAGAAAATAGATTTGTCCGTAGTCCTTGTCAGCCAATATTTTTCATGTTTCTAAATGCTATATCAGTTGGTCTGGGTACCACGTTCCTTAATTCTATATTATGGATATAATTGAATTTTTTTTTTGACTACACTAAGTGTATACTATTCTTTGAGATAAACTCTAAAAATGTGTATTAGCCAAGTCGTAATAGAGTTTATTCTATTTTCCTCTGAATGTTATTCTTAAAATGAAGTTATTGGCCATATTGGCAATGTCTCCCTTTCGTGTTTTCTTAAAGGGCCTCAGACCCAACAAGGGGTAAGCAATCAGATTGCAAACTATACGTCCTCGAGCAAGCCTTCTACTTTGCCTAGCGAACAACTTGCAGTTTGCCGAAGTAGTGGATCAGAGCATACTCGTCCACGTTTATCAGTGGTTCGACAGTATACATAAGCTGGGTCGGTTGTACTGCCAATGGCTTTCTGTCGACCATTGTAGCTCGCCATTTCTGCGTTAAAAGATCAATAGGACCCAGTAGCAGGTGTCCAGGGTAAGCAGGTAAAGGTCTGTCGATCGATCCCCCAGAGGCTCAAGAAACTCTGCTACTTTATCTACATTGTTGCAATTTTAGTTTTTCCTCCATGCGCATCTCTGGTAACTGTAATTACATTATTAATTAGCGCATCGTCGAAGCTCGTGCTTGGAGAGCTCTCGTCTCGATTTACTTAGTAAAGCAATAGGGAATCAGGATGCGGAAACGGTTCAAGCAGTTGCAGCTTAAGCAGTTAGGGTAATTAAGGGATTTGCTTCATATTTCACTACAAATCAGGACTCGGCATATAAGCATACTCTTTTCAGCGATATCTGTAGGCAAATGCTATTTAACATCGCGTACTCTTTCGCTGATTGGCATATCTCTGCAGCTCAGCTTAACAAGGTATGGTATTGTTAATCTGGGGTTTTTATTAGAAAAAAGTTCTGGAAATTATCACGTGATCAGTTTAACCGCAAAGAAAATAAATTTGGGGCTCGCACGAGTAGCACGTCGCAAGACCGCGTAAAATAGCGAGCATCTGATAGCTTTCGTGGTCTTTCGATTCTCTTTCAAGTGATCGTGACGATGGATCGGAAAGGGGTCGATCCCGAAAACCTAAGCTTTCATAGACGATTTTCATCACTTGTATTTGTATATTTCTGACACTAAAATTGCGAGAAACCAAATGCCATTTCATGTTTGATTTTTTTAATGTGCGACTTGTAAGGTGCTGTTAAGTTATATATGTAAAATGTCATCTACGTTTTTTAGTCTATATAAAACGTTTAGGTTATCTTTTCTTTATTATATCAACGTAATTATGTGCACAATAGCATCATGCTTGAGAGTTACTGTAGACGGTCAATGTTCCTTTTACGGCATTCGCATAGAAAATATCAACAAATCGTGCTATTTGACCTGTTATCGAGATTCTTGCCGCTTCTACTACCACTACACCCCATTTCTATGCTGAACGAAGCACCGCCTACTATTATCAGTTTCGTGTATATGCGAAAACGGTCCGTTCCTAAGAATTTGTTTTGCTATTACCTCTTTACGCCGCAGTAACGGGGGCGGCGGGAAATTATTTACATTACGATAATTCAATTGGCTTCGTTTCCAGCGGAACAATTGCGCGCAGCCTCGAGAAGCCTCGACTCGGAAATGTCGAATAACAACCATTCGATGACAGCGTTCGGTAGTCCCACCAGAATCGGAAGTGACGTAGGCGCACTATCGTCGGACGAGAAGAGGCAGTACACAATGGGACTATGGCGTAAAGCGGTCGCTAGGGCCTCATCACTCGATTCCCGTCCGAAAACAGATACTACCAAGCTGCTACTCAAAGCACTCAATGAAAATCCGTACCATAAGGTCGGTGTTACAGACATGCAAATCTTTCGTGATAGCTTAGATAACGTATTAGCGTGCTAATTTTAGACACACGTTCAGACCCGGGCATAGACAGACAATCTTCGCTTTGTACTGGGAGCCAGCCGGCCAGCCGTGTGATGCAGTGGCTAACGGCGATACCAATTTAAAATATAGACCCATATAGAAATCAGCATCAAAACTAAACGTTTCTACAAATCACAGAGGCAACTGATCGAATTTGCTTTTGCAAATCATAAACATTTCTAGTAACTAAGCTGATGCGCCACGTGCCTCAAATACGTCTTCCGATACGATTAACTGGATCGAAGGTAATAGAGCTATGCCTTCACCAGAGTTTTACAACAGTATCGTATGGCACTCGTAGCCTGAAGACTTGGCTTGCACATTATCTAGAAGTGCATAACTAAAAGTTTGTTACTTAGTAAAAATTTACACATTTAATGTTCACTTAAGCTTTTGTAACGTTAGATTAACTCGACGGTACGGGGTTTCAGCGCCAGTTTTACGTGCTCGTTGTATCGTTCGGCTATTCTATAGAGTCTTCAATGAAGCACTGATTAATCGCTCCGTGGCATAAATTATGATTCCGAAAAAATGCCAACACTTCATGAGACCCATACTTCTTCCATTCGACTTTAGATAACTCAGAATATCGTTGTTTCAATGAATTCAACTATAAAGCCTTTGCGGCGAAACTTTCAGCTTACAGATGAGATGAGCTACATTAACACTAACTGTTTAAGTTGAACTTGTGGCCAATCAAAGATTACCCGCGTCTCTGGTTCAAGTTAGCCATCTCAAAGTGGCAGGTCGGGCTCTCTCGCTCCCAGAAGATTTACCTGTTTGCCTGATAGATGGATCTTGTTGGGGGAATAAATCTCCTAAATTAATGTTGCCGATACTGTATTAAATTAGAATCTGCAAACTGTGTCAGTTTTATCGAAGTATAAATAAATTGAAATCCAAGTTAAGCAGATAAAATCGACGAAACTGCCGACAATCATTAAAAGCTTGACATCAAAACAAAACAAAATTTTGGAAATATTTGAGGAAACGACTATGTCTTATCGTCTCTAATTATCTTGTTTCGTTTCGTCCCATCTTTCACATGGTTCCACAAAAGTATCACCACCGATATAATCCGAACCTCGTTAACGACGATAACCAGGAGCTGGCGGCTCACCTTCGAGCTCGCCGTTTGCGGGCCCGCCGTCTGACGATGTACACTCTTGCTGGTGATGTACCCTCGGAACCCGAGCAGACTGACCAGGATTCGCTGCATGGCAGCTCAGCCCTTCCGATCCAGGGGTATCAGCCCATGTCGGGTGGGCAAAAAAACACTACCGAAAGCGAGTCTGATACTGAAACAAAAGGTACAATAGGTTATAAGACGCAACCGTCTTCAATCGGTCTGCACGAGCGTGCAGAAATAGCCGAATTGTCAGATCAGCTAATCGCGCTATTGCATGCAAAGCATCTTGAAAATTGCCGGCTGTTAGTTTCGTTAACAGATACACTGAATTCTTCTTCTTTACACATGTATGTTTGTATGCATAAAAAGCATGAAAAGCAGCCGTTTAAATATGGCGCAACCATATTATCTGAGACAATCCTGTTCGTACTCCTATACTATATGCATGGTCGTTACTTTGACTTGTGCCAATCATCATATTTTCCCGTTGTCTGTTTGGGCACTAATGTTTTTTCGTAGGTCGCCGAAGGACATCGTCTCAGGGAGAGCGACGTCGTTCGCTTCGTCAACGACGGAAGATCTCGACGCTGACGTTAGGCCAAGTGTCGCATTTGGACATTCTACGTGCGGCACAGCAAAGACGCAGCTCATTGCTTAGCCGCCAATCGGGAAGCCTATCTGGGCCTCCGACAGCGGGCACGACCATGCCAACAGGCCACGCTGCCTTTCACGCCGCCGTAGAAAAAACCGATTCCGGAAAGGTCAGCACGCCTTATGCTGCCTTTGCATAGTTTCCATAGGGCAAACAGTGCATCAAAGCCAGTTAATGGAATGGGCCTCCCAGTCTGCTTTTATTTTTATAGAGACTATAATCCGCGTGTAGTAAATAGTCTTTAGGTAGAGTTAAACGCTCCTCTCATATGCGAGGAAATCGAATACCTGATGTGGGACCTAAACTTGACTACTGTGAAAATCATACAAAAAGGCAAGCAGATCGTAAGCTCTCTACTGCAACAATAGAAAATTATCCGTTCATCCTCTTAGAACTAGACATAAAGAAAATACTCATAATGGTTCCTGTTTGAAAACAATATTCAATTAATAAACCTACTCTTAGGACCCGTTTGATTTGGTTTATATATGGCTCTAACAATAGATAATCATTCGTTATTCATTTATTTGTTGGCATAAATTATAATCCCTGTTTTTTTGAACGTCGTTTAAATTTAGCTAGCAATACTGTCTACAAAGATGAACCTCATATACGTTTTGTAGTTGCATGATATGACATATTATAATCTGTAGTGATTGGAAAGCGTAGTTCCTTACGAGCTGTGCCACCATTAACTACCGCTACCGAACTGTAAATAATAACAACCCTATCTTTTGGTATCGAGCTAACGACGTTTGCAATCACTTTGTGTCGTTGGTAACACTGCTTGGTGGCAATGGGGTATACGCATATAGGAAAGCGTTCAGTCAAGTAGACCACCCAGTTTGAGATTGTCTCGCCAAAAGGCAATCTCATCCTCTCAGGAGGACGTGCTTGACACGCTACGGAGCCCACACGCCTCCGGGTCCGCATGTGCTACTGTAGCTTCAGCAAGCAGCAGCAGTGGCGGCGGCGACGGCGACGGCGGCGGCAGCCGGAGCAGGCAGGACTCCTGCACCGCTCCGGAAGCGATGTCCGGAATGAGTACTCCCACTGGCGAACGGAGAAGCTCATTAAAATCGCAAGATCGAAACCACTCAGGCGAGGAGGATGCAGAAGTCCGCAGCCGACATCACGTGGTCACCATCGAGGATAACGGCGAGGACGATAAAAAGACCTTTGAAGAAACTAGCATATAGGCAAATACAGATAGCAAGCCCAAGTGGGTCGTGGGAAAAGCGTCACCTATAAAACGCTTATTGATTCTAGCATAAATAGCAGTATCGATGCTGGAACCAACAGCCGCCGAACAAACGGACCTCGCTGGTTAACGATATCGTTTAACATTACCGACTACTGACTAAGTTAGCGACCCAGATCACAGATGGAAATACTGAAAGTTCAAGCCGTTGTGTATGTGTAGACGCCGTATACGTGTATAGGAAAATTCCATGCCTTGTTTGTAAACAGGTAGTTTATCGTGAGAAACGTTTCTTAGCAATAAGGGCTGACCATCGGATTAATTCGTTTTGCATATGGGCCAAAAATGTTTTGTAAAATCTGAATGTTAGAGTAGAACCTGCCGACAATGCAGTTCACTTTAGGAAGTGTGCCTTGAAAGACAATGTGATTGAAACGTGACAGCCGAGCTACGCGTCGATTGCTGCCCGCTATTAATGTTTAGCGATCAACTCAAATAAACCTGCTGTGTTTAGGCAGCGGCAAACAAAAATTTCAATATGGATTTTGTAAATTTTCGCCCAGTCAGTTCTGGATCATGCGAAACTATTTCTAAAAAATGCCTGCAAAATTGCAGTGATCTAATAAGCCACAATAGCTAAGTGTTTCTTTGCTAAATCAATGGCTTAAGGCCTCAACTAATGCACAGGGAGAACTTCTACCTGAAGATCTCTAGAATCCCTTAGAGACAACGGGGCACGTTGTGGCAGTAAAATCCTGATATCATCTCTGATGACACTTAGAGAAAAACGTGATAGAGTATCATAAAATCAACGTACAATCGGCAAAAATGTATCAGACAAAATCTTACATACGCGTAGAACGCTAGTATTCACCCACTGATTCTTTTCATCTCAGCTGAGATGACGCGAAATAATAGAAAAGAAAACGCCACACAGATAATCATGTTTAGAAAAAGCTAGATTGAAGAAGCAGGGGCGACGGCAGTTCACAAAAAATGAGAACTAACAGAAACAGTGAACAGAAAGGCCTGTCTACAAAGCCTTTAGATGAACAAGTGGGCTATCGAAAAATGAGTATTTTCGGGCTAAGCACATGCGGGTTACGTATATGATGTAGCCTAGGTATAAAAGAGTTGTCGATATAAGTTTACAATCGGACTGTTCGGAATTCAGAATCATGGTAGTCCAGGATATTTTTAACCAGTTGCTATCCCAGCAACAACGAGAAAGTTGAGCCTACTAAATGTCTACCAAATTGTAGGGCCATCAAAAACGATCATCGTTACTATTCTAGGTATGCTCTAATCCCTATGGCAAGCAAGCCGAGGCCAAAGGTAATTCACCAGCCTGTAAAAAGTAGCTGGGTATCGCTAATTTCTATTCGAATATTGATCGCGGTCGAAAATGGCTTGTAGCGTATATGATTAGTTCTCAGGCCTCCATAGAGGTGACAGAGAGAGGTAATTACTAGAAACAATTATATATGCTAATTTTATAAAGTGGCTAAGACAAGTAAGCAGCTGAGATATAATGAGGACAAGCCGAATCGGCAGGAGGCGTTTCTCAGAGCGGACAAGCGGAGAGCCGACGTTTGCCCTGCTCGGATACATATTCAAAGGAGAGAAAAGAGAACAGCTAGACGATACGCGCTCATTCTATCAATCAGAGCATATTAACATGTCGAGTAGTCACGGTTGAGCAATATACTGGGACGTTAGAGATGAAAAAATTATTATATACAATTGCGGCTGAAAACTGCTGAGGGGACAGGCATTTAGGAAACAGTTGGAAAGATCGAAACACGCGGTACCTAAACATGGTATTAATACTGATCATATTTAAAATTGGTTCTATTGAAAGGTAAAACAAAAAAACAGGCCACTTCCGAAATCGTATGCAGTCTGGCCCTAACGAACAAGTAACAGCAAACTAGCTATTTATTGAAGCAGATTTACTATACATCTATATGCCTAGTCAGAATAACGATACAGGGAACAACACAGCTTCGCACGTTGCTTATAGTACAAGAAAAAAAAAACATACCCGAAACTAAAGCAGACCACAGATATAGAAGAAACGCTATACTTCATCAGGAAATATAATATGACTAATAATTTAACGATGGCTGTCAAAAGACGCTGAACGGAGGGCAAACCTAGGCCGAATGAAATGCTTGAACGTCCATGTTGAAATCAGACGAACCATTTACCTAAAATAGGCCTCAATAGATGAGTACGACGAGCATCTGGAAAACATATGTCGAAACATCGAAATGTCTAAAAGTAGAATATAGAAAGGTAATTTGCTATAGAGATTCGGAAGTATGTTTTGTTGCAAGGGCTGCCGAGTCAAGAGGAACCGTTGCGGATCAACTGGTCCAAACGTTTCCTACCCACAAACAATCAATTGTAAGTCTGCCATAAGTCCGACGATCCATATAAGTGACAGAAAACGAGACAACAAGCGGTGGACGGTGGAAATAGGATACCTATTCTTTGAAACGATCATTATCAATCACAAGTATAATTAGGTATAAACAAATTGAAACATATTATCACTTCGAGAAAAAAAAAAACAGCCCCGACAATAAAGTCGTAACGAATAGAGAGCTACCTTCGTAAAAATACCGTTCGTAACAATAACTGCAATCAGGAGATGATAAGATTTTTAAGATGATAAGAAGAGATGATAAGAAGATCTTAAGATGATAAGATATTTACATGTTGTTGAAGCTGCTAATTATAAGAGAAAGGACACTTCTAAGAATAGGTAAGGTTTAGAAGAAAAAGAAACCCTTTTTTGTAGTTCTACGAAAAGAGAAACCCCCTCATGCATACTCCAAAAAAGTATAAATACAGTTAAAATACCACATGCGATAGAATATCGAAATATATAAAGAGCGTCAAATTCAATTGTGGAGAATGAAGACATAGCTAGGAGTCAACGACCTGATACAAAAAGTGAATTATTTAAATCAGTTTGAAAGAGGTGTGCGATCAAAAATCAAGCGAACGATATAGTTTAAAAAAGTGTATACAGACGACGTATTGTTAGTTTTCAGAGACGTTGTTTATCTTATCTGAGGGTATCTGAAGGAGCAATAATACTGGAAACAATCAGAGCAAACATCTAAGCTAAGATCGATGCAAGCAAAAAAGTGGCAAAAATTACTAAATATATCATCGTGTTTGTTTAGGTGGTTTAGACGTTTCTTCTTTTCGTTATTTTTTTTTGGATCGTGGCAAATATTTTTCTGTCATCGTCATCGTCATGTATGAATCATTTGTGAAAATTACAATCGATCATAGACAGATACTAATGGTAGACTGAGGTCTTCATCCGAACGATCCCGTTATTGTGATCGCCTGATACGTGCCAACAATAAAGACAAAGTATATTCCAATATGTATTGACATCATTCTCTCTCATTTATGTGGTTCTACAAACACTGACTTTTCATACGTAAGTAGATAATAATGGAACTAAAGAAAAAGGAAGAAAAACGACGATTGCGTACTTCAAATGTATTCGAGTAAAAACACATTATCTAGCCGTGATAAAAATGATCCGGTGCGCACTAGTGCTTAGGGTAATTTACAACTGTAAAAGGCAGTAACGTTTTGATAACAGTTTGGTTCTTTTTTGGGAGGAGATTTCCAGTTTTGATTTTTCATAGAACTAATCCCTAAGACGCCTTCGTCTCGTCTAAGAATTTTTCTATTCTGCCAATAGACACGCTACGAAGAGGACTTTAGCTTCATTGGAAATAGACATTGAGCCAGCTGAAACATCAACACAGGGAACTGACCTCAGAGACAGTTTCCATCAATGTCACACAGATCAGAATAATACTTACGACTCAATTTATGCTATTTCTCTATAGAGTCATTATCGAGGTTACTACTAGTTAGAAAATAGCAATATTTCACTTTCTTCAAACCTATCAACACAGATGCCGCTTATGGAGTTCAAAGGTCACAACTAATTTCGGCTACCATTCACGCGATTTCCACAAGACGCAGGTATGTCCTACGAACGTTTTCGGAAATAATTTTTACGCACACAACACAAGCTAGCGAACTGTGAAGGAAAAAAACATCGAATAGCATCCCGAGTGGAAGAAACGAATAACTTTTATCTAAATACAAAAACTTTACAGATCTTCTAATCTAAATCTAGAAAACTTCGACTAAAATTCACTAATGAATATATCATTGTCTTAGTGGCTATAAAATATGCTACTTTCTTGTCTGACCCGCTGAAAGGATCTCTTGAAATATATCACCTAAAAAAATAAAACGCAATTAGCTTACAAAAATCTCTTAGATGACTGAAACATGGCTCAATCGATTAAACTTACCTTCTCTGCACATATGAAGGCGTCCCCACTGTTATTATGCGTTTCCTGAAGACTGTGTTTTATAGGTAGCCCGTAAGGCATATAGACTGAAATCTGTTCAGGTTACATACCGGCATTACTCTTAGTGAGCGTGGCAATCCTGCAAGCCTAGATATGTTAGGCGTCGATTTAGCGGTACCTGCGAACCGTGGGGCAACTAAGTCGTAATTGTCTGCAAATCCAAAGAGGAAGTAATTCAGGAAAAAACAACTAGTATGATGTCCTGGTTAAGCCTGCAACAGGATGCGATCATCATAACCTGAAACGCAACAGTTGAATTCATAACAACATGAAGGACTTCCAAAGTGATACAATGGAGCTACGCAAAAATATTATCAAGATAGCTTTAATTATTGTAGTCATCGTAGTGATATTTTATGCGCGACTGTTCTTCGATTACGTGTAGTTAATTCAATGACATTCACTTTGAAGGTTGGCTAAGTGGGTGGCATTTTCTGTACACTGCGTCAGCGATGTACGATAAGTTTTGCGTAAAGGCCAAAAGGATTTTTTGATAAGACATTTTTTGATTCCTTGCTTCAGCTGGTACGGAAGTAGCAGTGATCGTAACCGTGGCCGCAGCGAAGCGACTCTCAGACATCAAACAACACCTGCATGGTAGTAACGGAGGTGGCAGCTGTTGTACGCCTTTTCGTCCATAAGGGGCACGGGGATTATGGGTTTGTGTCTCGCTAATGGAACAGGCCAGATAGCTAACAACCGATAACAAAAACGCGCATGTAGTACTTTCTGTCGAGTCTGATCATCCGCAATATAAGCTTGCCATATGCGGATTTCGACGAAGGACTAAAGCGGGCTCAGTTATGCCATGGCTTGCGTCCTAGATTACCCTCATAGTCTTCTATTGCGTTTCAGATCCAGCATGGTCCAACACATAGGTAGTAGAACTTGAGTAAAGCCAGCCGTAGAGAAAAAACTTTTCATATAATTTAGTGAAAAACTATTGGCAGAGCCTAGGCTACAAACAACGTAATTTTTATAGAGTTATTTATCTAATATTTTTTGGCTCCGCAGTATATTTTCCCCGTAACAGTTTTTTTTTCAATTCAAAATTAGGCATGATCCCAGTCAGTATGACTGCGATTCTTTGCAAAATTTTCATGTAAAAACATAATTTCAAAACACCCGCGCAAAGTACCCATTCTCCAAGGCAAGCAAAAATGATCAAAAACTAGCAACATATTTTAAATTGTCGCTTATTAAATAAGCAGTTTATTAAATAAGCAAACTATGATATAACATGATTGAAGTATGTTTGGGCAATTCGCTATCAAAACTGTATTAAAATTGAAAACCTTGTGTTGATGGAAAATTAGAGGTAAAGTTCAGAAGAGAGCTATACTATATCATTATACTTGGTTCAAAGCATTACCATAGCTATAGAAAAATGCTTACCACCTTATCTTTTTATTATAAACTATTCGCCCATCTCGTTTATCCACGGCATAGTAACTGTTACTTCAATAAGGATTTATTTAAGGCAATCATGTGTCGTCGGTCTTCCCGCAAAAACGAAAGAGCTGTGCGATTTATCAGACACAGAACTTCTTTGTCAATTGTTAAGATCTTTTTTCCTTCTACTATATACGAGCATTATCTTGTCTACGCGTTAACTCAGCTATACACGGTCTACAGATGCAAATAGCCTCTTTGCTTCATATTGCAATGGTAAAACACGAATAATTTAAACTGGAGAACATCCTCTGTAGATCCGTGCTGGTCTTTAACGCTACGAGTTCCTGTTTAGCAAAATGGCCTAGAGCAGCTGAGACACAACAGGGTACAGTATATCCCATAGCAACGTCGCCTTATGAGCTTTTCCGTCAGGCCAGTTTCCTTGTTCGTGTCACCGGTGTGTACTGGCATTTACATGCTTCTATATTAGCCTATAACCCGAACTCCAGTGAGCTATCGTCTCGCTTTAGTACGTGGTGAATCGCACGCTAATAGCGTGACAACATCTATAACAACAACAATATCAACAGACATACAAACAACAATAACGATGACACGCAATAGAGAAAGTAACGTTGCAGAGCTGCTGAGGTCGTGCAGCGTTACGAAGCTTTAGCGTATCGTCACGCGCTCTCGCTGCGATGTATTTCGTACGTGCATTGATTAACTGTTAAACTAACAAAACCGACGAATTACTGGTCGTTACACGAAATATTCGAACTTATCCGTTGCTAGATACCCTCAGCTTTAAAGTAACACGGGGATGACAGCCTTTCTGAATGATGTGTTTAGGTTTTGACGTTAACTTACCATAAACTTAATTTAATCGTTTGAAATGGATCACGTTTGAGACAGATGATTCTTTCCGATGTAAGACAATCGATACAGAACGGTTATCAAGGCGTCCCTAGACCGAAATTATCTAACGGAAGCTACGCACAATAAATTGCAACCAAAGCAGGGTACCCGGGCACTCTGCCCACTGGAACTGAACCCATGCCCATCCTACAACGGCTTTAGAGGAAGAAAGATATTATTCATCATACACCATATAGAGGTGATTAACAAGAGCTTTCGGTATAATTTCTGTCTGACTGTTTTAGTAAACGTTATTCAACATCACGTAAATTAAATTTATTTCCAAAATGGTAATCGATTTTCAAGGTCGCTTCCTTATTCAACATTTAAAAGTAAAATGTTCGAGTTCGAAACCCGCCAACGCAAACCCAATTCCCTCAACTGAAACGTTAAATATAAGAGAACTTGATAATAACGACGTCTTTAGCACTTAGCAGTTCTAACCGTACGCTTAGAAGCTACTAAGCGAACATTTCAGCTGTCGGCTTATGCAATAATCTGTCCTTCTACGCGCCATCGTGTGACCTCTATAATTTCTATTTCCATAACATTACCTTAATAGCAGATTCGGACGGAGTCCAACACATTCGCCATTGAACTAGAAAAAGTATCGAATACCCCTAATCTTTTTAATTTTTTTTTTGTAAACCATATGTTATCAAGCATGCCACATTATAGGACACCGTCAGTCGCCATAGCAACGGCCATATTGGCTTGGCAGACCTATCTTGGACGAAAATAAGTACGCATTTGTTTTGCTTTTTTGTTAGTCCTACTTAAAAAAGCCTTTGTCATAAGAAAGTCTAGTATATCCACTATCACGACTGTTAAACTACTCCGCCATGCCAAAAAATGGAACGAAGAAGAATGCGTACCAGGTAAAACATAGATGTTTTTTGGCTACGTTACCGAAGTTTCGCTGTCGATTTTCTCGGCCACGTTGCATGACACAATATTCTCAGTAGAAACTGCCACAAAAGCTATTGGCAAATTGATCTTTCAACATCATATGACAGTGTTATAACATAATAAATGTGCGTCTTGCAAAACTAAATCATTAAAAATGCAATAACGTTGAGAACCGAATATAAAGTTTAGCCTAAGCAAAAAAAAATACGAAAAACAAGCGTGTGCAACATACATTTCACTTGATTTAAATAATTTAATAACAAACAGTGTTAAATTATACCGTGAGAATTAGTTGTCATGTTTCTAGCAAATTTACCACCAAAAGCCAAATAGAAATTGACGGGATTAACAGTGGCACACCATAGATAAGCTCCGATTACTAAGGCACACTCCGATCATGGCTGACTTGGGTTTCCTTGATATAAATATAAAAATTTAACTAATATATAGCTTCTTAGGAGATACAGCCAACAGGTTTTTGTAGTTAGCTTTTTTAGCGACCTTTCGTACGGTGTCGAGCTGGCACTTCTAGGAATTTTGATTCACTATGTCAGAACCCTTACGAAGTCTGCCATATAGTGAATTTCCTTCGGCGTCACAGTTTTCTTCAGATCTTTCCTCCTGGGCCCAGATCTGTTCTTCAGCTGTACCAAACATGAGGAAGAGGGTCGAGTTTATCATCGTGAAAATGCCCGTATAAAGGAACGCGAGATGCCATTGCGTAAGCGTATTCTACAATTAACATTCCAAAATACGAGACACGTAAGTTTACAAAATTCAACGATTTAGTAATAACTAGTTAATTTTTCATCTTCAGATGCCGGATCATTGAAGAGTAAACACAAAACAATTAAGACAATTACTTTTGTGAGCCATAAGGTATTCTTCTAAACAGAGTCAAATTTATCCAGAACGATGATTTTTCGCTAATTAGAAGCTTAGACAATAACTTTCGGATCAGTACCCCTGGCGAATCAAACAGAAAGGTAATCTCACAGATAAACATTTATCTGCCTGATAAAACCTTCAATATCAAATTAATGTGAAGTTATAGAAATAGTATACGCGCAATACACCTCGGGCTTGTCAACGATACAAACATTATCCTCTGTGAGATAGCCCACAAGTTTTGGTGCAAGAAGGCCTGCGACGTTGGCCATCACATTGAGGACGCCTGTCACAGCGCCAGCGAATCGTGGTGCAATGTCGAACGCCATACCCCCGTCACCCCCGCCGGCAAATCCAAGAAACAGATAATTAACAAACAGTGTTACCATAACGAGGTCATAATCGCAACCAATCCTTGAAAGGAGGACCATGCAGAAGGAGGGCAACAGTTGCGCTGAAATTTCAGGACGGATCAGTGCAGTTAACAATAAAAAGCAAGTTAGTTCATATTCCTGAAGACCGTTACGTACAGGAGTTCTTTACATCTAAGATAACATTTTTCTTTCGCTTCGACGAGATTCAGTTTTAAGAAAGAATTGTCGACTGTCCTTCAACTTGATGTTGACTTTGGACGTATTCATCTTATAAAAATTTTTATTGGCTACATTTATCAAATTAAAATGATTTAGCATCTTTAGTGGAATATAAAGAGAGATTACTTACAACAAACGATGAAAAATTTCCGTAATCTTGTCTTGTTGAATGCTTTACGTTCGATTAGTTTGTCCGCGATACGTGCAGTGACAAGGAGGGTGATCGCGATGCATAAATTCATACCTCCATTAATCCAACCGTTCTGCGGAGATTCAGATATTAATAGAATAATCGCGATGTCATAGAAGCACATTGAATTCAAACTAAAATGAAGTAAATGAAGAAGGAGCTTAAAAACAAAACGGTTATTTGTTTACTCCTACAACTACTACAAAGGACAAATGACACGAATTTTCTGCGTCTTTGCAGATAAAATGTAGTGTTACGGTTATTTTCGGTGTGATAATCACTCCACATTAAAGATTACTACGCTATACACGTTATTTTCCGTTTTTTTTATAACAATTTTAAAATAATTTTCATGTAACAAGTCGATGAAATCCCCCCCCCCTCATAGATCTGCTTAACTAAGAAACCCATAACATATTTTGTTCCTCCTTTATCCAGTTTCGTATGATATCAATTAATTCATTCATCAGTTAAGTCCAAGAAGTTGGTAGGCAAAACTACTCACAGCAGTGATGTCTATGGCGAACATATCATTAAGGTATGTCGGTAGTTCTATGAGCATCATGTAATAATTGAAAGAAGCGGCCAATTTGGCAAGGCCCAGAATAAGGACGGCTGGTGAGAACAGGATTTGCCTCCATGGGATCTGGAGTACGGATATGCAAAGAAAAAACACAAAGGAAACAGTATTGAAATGTGTTAGGAGAACATTCATCGGTTTTTTCATTTAAAATCAGTGTCGATGTGTGTTCATAGGAGACTTAATAATGTCTATTATCGGCATGCCAAATGTTCCCTACAAAGCCTTAAAAGAAAGATTTGTCTATTTCCTTAAACAAAGATATTTCAAATCTGCTTCAAATTAAGGTGGCATTATATCTTAGGATTCTGCACATAATTTGATTTAATTTATTGCTTATGTGAGAGTTTCAAAGCTTTCTACGAATCACATTGTATATCTATATCATACGTAAGATTTAAGGAACACGAGCAAATGCACAATACCGGTGGGCGCGCTTTTTTAAATTTGCTTGATCGTGATTCGACAATGTATTTGCGCTCTTCAGCGGAGATCCATGGGTGTCGCTCCGGACCATCTGCCGCAACACAAAACCAAAATACCGTCCACAAAATGCCGAGTAGGCCTACAAAACACGCATATATACAGATTATTCTAAAACATACTAATAATTCTGCGGAACAATCGAGGATAGTTAGCGACTCTGTTCGCATTGGTATTCTACGCTATTGGATTTGCAATATTCCATTGCGTCAATAGTAAGCGTACCAGGTAGATACGACTTACTCGTACGTTATGCTTCTTTTATATATCTTTATTTACATTTTAATAATCATAAATTCATAGCGTGCTTTACCGAATAGATAAAACGAAACGGACCAGCCCATCGGCGAGGTGCAAAGATAGGCTGACACTGGAAGAGTTACAACCGTTCCGACCACAGTGCCAGCGTTGACGAAGTTTAATGCCGAATTTTGCTCGTTAGCAGGTGACCAACGCGCGATAAATGCGAACACTGCTGGGAACGTAATCCCCTATGAATGGGGGCACGAAAGCCATAAAAGAAGACTTTTCTTTTTTAAGATGTCCACTGTTAACAGCAGAAAGGCTCGCGTACCGATAGTATTTGCACAGAGCCGATTATTCCGAATATCAACTCATTTTTAAATTTTCTTTTCGTCAAATCAAATTTTAAATAACTAGGACTTAGGCATGAAGAGCAGGGTTTTTAGTTCGGAAAAAAAAGCAATTGAAAACAGGTTTAGTGCTATTACGAAAAAATGTAAATTCGTAGCCAGCAAAAAGTGCAGCTTTAGCTTGAATTAAAAAATATTCCGCTGTAAGGTGCAATTGCTAGTTGCTCTTTATACAAGAATAGGCGTTTGTGGGATGAAGGTCTGGCGAAGCACCTAATCTCTACATTGATAGCTGTCAACTAGATGCTTCCATATGTCCTAACAGTTGTCTCCTGACAATATACGTACTACATATTTCTCACCCAACGGTCCAGTTATGAGTTATCTATACGAAAAAATACCTCTGAGAGGCCTTCACAGACTCGGAGCGCGACCAAGGCATAGTAGTTAAAATAAGCAGTAACGTGTGTCAGGCATGTGAGTAACGAAGTTAGACCCACACCGAGTCCAAAAACCCAGGTCGCGCTGGCCACTTCCGCAAAGTATCCGCCCGGGATTTGTGTGATTAAGTATCCTAAGAAGAACGCGTATAAAACTGTCGCTTGCTGGTTTTGATCCCAATGGAAGTCACCTTGCAGCTATTGAGAAATCCCAAAATCAGTACATAAAACAAAATCTTTAGAAGATACCTTGACGATCTTATGCAAATTTACCTGCCGAATCATAGTTACACTGCGATATACACTGGGGGCGAAAGCCGGAAATGTCAGACAGAAATACGAATGCTCGGGAACCCTAGCACAAACCAGCAAAAAAAACAACAGCCTACTTAGTGTAAGTAAGACATTTTTGGACCTTTCTCTTTTCAGCACATATATATATATATATATATATATAGAGAACTGTTTAGGAGAGCGGCCTCTTTTTCTGAAAGATAAAATTTAAATCGAAGCACACTTACTTCGCGAAGCTTTCGCGATAACGAATGCCCTCCCTGAGCTATGTGTTTATCCGGTCGACAGTTATCACTAGAAATAAAAGTAATATTATCACCAGTAGCATTAATGCTATTGGTCATAGCTAAAATTGCAACGGAAAAGTTCAGTCTCATGGCATAGACCAGAAATGCGCCGATGAACATCGAGAAACAAAGAAGGAACCGTATCTGTAAAATGCCTAAAACGCAAGCATAACGTATGGTTATTAGAAATATAAAATATTAGACAAAGATATATTCAGATTCAATAGATATCTATTTGCCATTAGGTGCCAATAACTAGTAACTGATTAAATATATGAGACGTTTCTATAAAAAAAATTATAAAAAGTTGGTAGCAAATCAACAATGCTTTATAGGTCTATACATATGAAGCTTCTTCATTGCATCGAATTCATTATTTACTATGTTTCAAAGAGTCTTTTAATCCTTTTCAGATATCTACCTAAGTCTATAATGAGCAGAGCCACTAGAAATCAAGTTATTATATGTGTTACTGGAGATAACGCCGCACCAAGTAACATCGGATGCTTGATCGCAACAGCAAACCCAAAAGCGATATTTCCTTATGTAGCTAAAAAGAAGAAACCTCGTTATCAATTATGCATATGTCGATTTTTCCGTATAGATATGATCCATATTTCCTTAGTAAATAGAATGTCGTCACTATAAAGGTGTAGTAAAATTAAAATTCAATGTTAACCTCGTTTTTTAGCCAGCAATCAAAGTGAACATTGTACCGCCGACCGTCGCTGTTTGAAGCTCGTGCGAGGTTGAGCCTAGCATGCCAAGGACGCTGCCTTATGTGCCTGCACGAACACATGGAGGATCCTCGACTCGCAAGTAGGCAGTGACATTAAACGGAAGATAGTTCGGATAGCGAACTATAAGTAAAGGCTGTTCATCGTCAGAATCAAAGGGCTAATAAAGCAATTTTGTAATCAACGGGGTAATACAACTTCAACAAAGCCGTGATTAATAAACTAATACCAGCAGCTTGGCTTGCGATATCCTTAATTGAAATAAGCTATAGTCACAACTCTAATTTAAGCCGCTCTTAATGATACGATCAAACCTCCTATTTTGAACAGAATGGCACTAGAGAACATCCAGATACAACACTCAGCTTTGACACCTTCAAATTGGAACAGAGATGCTTTCGGTTCAGAATAGAACTATTTAACCAGCGTTTAAATAGTTTAAGAGCAAAGTCCGAGCTTTATCTGTGGATTGATCACAGACAAATGCCAATACTGCGAAACATGCTGACTGCTTCTGTCACCGTATGTCAGCTATTTGCTCGTATCAACCTCGAAATCATCCCGAAGCAGCTAAATACTCACTTAGTACTTTTAAATACCTTTGGCTAGAAAGCCTCACGAAAATTCATGCATGCATAATAAACATAATTAAGTAGCGAAAAGTGACGTTGCAAAAAATTCACAAACACAAAAAGGGTCAACTTGATGCCTATGTTGTTCTGGCCCTTTATTACTGACATTGTCGCTACCCGGCCATTGGCCATTAGTGAGACTCGCACTAGAAAGCTAGTCATGTAAGACAAAGATACATAGATTTTACCACGCGGCATAAAGGCATCTAAGGGTTTACTAAAACGCACAACTACGACCTAATAGTAACCGTGTAAACTGCGTTTGTTGCGACACTCACTGCCCCTTCGCTCCCTTAAGGTGTCTCCTGGAGCCTGACTCATACTGTTGCGAAAATGCTTTCGAATCGTGATATCCTGAGTACAATCTCCAAGCAGAAGCCGAACAGGCAATGTTGCACAATGAGAAAATCGCTCTATCTCCCTTTATTATATCGGCGTGCAACTCCTTCTTCCTTCAGACGAAATCAACAAGTTTGTTTGCGCAGCTGTATCTTTTAGGCTCTCGGATCTGGACAACTAGGTGGACGAACTAGTCGCAGTAGCTGTATTAGATCGAACTTTTAAGCACTTAACTATCTGGATGTAGAGAGGTGCTTCTGGACGAAAGAGTTCGACACGGATCGATCTCATCACCCTTTCCTACATTTCACGCTGGCCTGTAACCGTCACCGAAACATAGACATAGTGGGAAACGTAGACGGCAATTCTTAGAATGCCAACGTCAATAGCGTCAGTGCGTAGGCAGGCTGGTTTTAGCATATATACTGGTCTCCAAAATGGCTTTCTGTTTGGAGAGAGTGAAAATAGAATTGCGTCATGGTAGTGTTGCACTTTGCAGGTAGAATAATGTACGATTCGTATATAAGAATATTATCTGGAGAATTTACTTTGCCCTTTGCCTAGCAGCCGCGGACGGCCTGACGATCAAGTAAAAATAGACATTTCGTCACAAAAATTAGCTGCCAATCGTACGAGGCGTTTTGTGCTGGTGCAATCGAGATGTACATCCTAGCGATAATTAATGCAGCGTTTTAATTATCTATTCCAATATATAGTTACAGCATTCATGGAACGAAGACTTGCGACACTTTTCGGTATGGAGTAAATACAAGCATTTTAGTCTCTTAGGCCGTACGCTGATTCTTTGAGCAGATATTGCTGAAAGCAATATAAACGAGATATATATATATATGAAACAATAAATCAGTAACAAGGAGGAGACTAATAAAATGTTTAGGTTACATACAACGCGTATTGGGTAGAAAATAAAGTTTATATAATTTAACTGTATTTATATTGCTTGATAACAGCAACAGTATAAAAATTAACTCTCTCGGCTATCCATCTATAAATCTCGGCTGACTTCGGCCTGATTCTGGCTCCGACGATCCTATTAGCTAGTTTGCGACAGGACTAACAGTTTCAGACTGTCAGTAAGCTTTAATTACTTCGATAGCCGACAAGGACGTTTGACTTAACATCATTCGATATAGATACAAGGGTTTAGGTAAAGCATAGTTTTTTTTTGGGGATACGGTTAAAAACCGACTAAGTTCCTTGGTCGCGTTATTAGAGGTACGGTGTCGAGCTGGCACTTCTAAGAATCTTGAATAACTATGTCAAAGCTTTTGCTAAGCCTGCCATCCAACAGAGCTCTTCAGCGTCACAGTTTTCTTGAGATCTTTCCTCCTGGGCCCAGATCTGTTCTTCAGCTGTACCAAACATGAGGAAGAGGGTCGAGTTTATCATCGTGAAAATGCCCGTATAAAGGAACGCGAGATGCCATTGCGTAAGCGTATTCTACAATGAACATTCCAGAATACGAGACATGTAAGTTTACAAAATTCAACGATTAAGTAATAACTAATTAATTTTTCATCTTCAGATGCCGGATCATTGAACAATAAATATAAAACGATTAAGACAGTTACTTCTGTAGGCCGTAACGTATTCTTCTAAACAAAGTCAAATTTATCCAGCCAGAACGATGATTTTTCTCTAATTAGAAGTTTAGACAATAGCTTTTTAATCAGTACCCTTGGCGAATCAAACAGAAAAGCAATCTGACAAATAAACATCTACCTGCCTGATAAAACCTCCAATATCAAATTAATATGAAGTTATAGAAATAGAGTAGTATACGCGCAATACACCTCGGGCTAGTCAACGATACAAGCATTATCCTCTACGACATAGGCCACAAGTTTTGGTGCAAGAAGGCCTGCGACGTTGGCCACCATATAGAGGACGCTTGTGACAGCGCCAGCGAATCGTGGTGCAATGTCGAACGCCATACCCCCGTCACCCCTGCCGGCAAATCCAAGAAACAGAAAATTAACAAACAGTGTTATCATAACGAAGTCGTAATCGCAACCAGTCCTTGAAAGGAAAACCATGCAGAAAGAGGGCAACAGTTGCGCTGAAATTTCAGGACGGATCAGTATAGATAACAATAAAAAGGAAGTTTGTCGAAATGTCGACAGGCACTTCATTTAATTTTATATTCCTGAAAATCGTTATGTGCAAGAACCCCACAGGGGCAAGTTGTATCCAGCAGCCCTCAACATCTAAAATTGCATTTTTCGTTCGCCCGGATGAGTCAGTCAATCTAAGGAGAAATTGTCTACTATACTTATACTTGGTGCAAAGATTATACCAAACAGAATCTATTTTATAGCTGTTTATATTTCGCTATGTTAAGCAAGGCAAACCAGCTGAATGTTACTGGATAAAAAAAAAATAGACAAAATCACTCATAGCAAAAACAAACCATCGCCTTAACCTCTTCTTATTAAATACTTCACCTTCGATGAGTTTATTTAGCGAGACAGTGATCTCGGCACCCAATAATATTCGTACCTCTGCCGACCAACCTTTCTGGTGGTAGTCAGATATAAGCTGAACGGTCGCGACATAGTTGCGTGCACATAGTAAAATATAAAGCTGCTACTTAGCAAATCGAACGGTATTCAGAACGGTCACAGTTAGTTACAAAGCTCGATGCCGAAAACACTTGCTGACAAAACCAGTATTCCATGATTTATAGTTCATTAAGTGTGTTTAAACGAGCAAAAAAGGAGACAGGGACACGTTGAAAAAATAAGAGGAGTTTATAGCAACTCTGCAAGGAAGGGCCACAGTGGTAGCCTAACAGGATATGCTGGAGTATTATTTCGGGTTTTCAAAACGATAATCTATCATAAGAGGTCATCATCGTGTTCATATTGTGCTCATCACAATGTTAGTCTTCGTTGCACACGCAAATGAAGTCAGTTCGAGAACAATCGATGATGAGTCTGCTCTTACAAAAGGGCAAAGATATATATACATATATATATATATATATATATATATATATATATATATATATATATATATTACTGCTGACGTTACAGATTTTGTCTTGCTTATTAGTTTGCGTGGTGTTGGGGTAGATCAGCAGTTCTGTGAAAATCATATTCTGGTTAAAGATATCTGCCAACCTCGTAGAGCCCAAAGTAACGACGGCTGATGAAGGCAACACGTGTCTATATTAAATATGGGGACAAGGATGCGATAAAAAAAAATAGTAGAAAATATTATCGAAATGTGTCAGTCGAAAAGACGCATAATTACGAATGACGAGTACGTAGTGCACATAATAGTGTTCAATAAATCAGTTGGTCTACTGTTTGTACATCACAGTATTTTTTTTTGAGATTTTTTGGTCTACGAGTAGAAGAATCAAAAGGGGGTTCACTTTTTTCCTTTTAAGCAAAGCTATTTCAGCTTCCTTATCTTGAATACTTTTGCAGCCTTTTTATACATACCAGTTATGTTTTAAGATTATACAGATAACCTCATTTAATTATTCTTAGCTCATGTGAGAATGACAAGATTTTCAGAAATCGCATTACATCTATGTATCAGAGTCAGCATTTGAGATAGGATAGCAAATGCACAATATCGGCGGGTACTCTTTTTTGCCTGATTGTGACCCAACAATGTATTTATGCTCGTCAGCAGAGATCCATTTATGTTGTTCTGGACCGTTTGCCACAACGCAAAATTAGGTCGTCGCTCACCATAAACCAACTAGGCCAGCAGGAGACGCACATATATATATGTAAGGGAAAAAGGTCGCTGCTTCAAGTCTCGCCAAGTTACTCTTTAATAGCACAGCACGTGTAGTATGTGTCTTTGACGAAACTCTGCCGCGAAGTTGGCACAAAGGCAGCCATAGCGCCAGTTGGAATTACTCCCTAGAGCCTAAAAGCCAATGAAATACGCATCTTCTGAGCTGATCTAATAGAGTATGCGGAAGGCTTAGTTATGGATCAAAGCGATGAAACGTAATACACAAACTTGCGTCGGGTGCAACTTTTAATGACATGATTCCTAATATTGAAGCCTAGATAACACGGCTCGTTGGCGAGCTTACGTACTATCTCACACGGTTGCTGGCCATGGGGTAATTCAAAGTTAGCTTTATAGAATTAGCAAAACCATTTGGATAACCGTGTTCTGTATATAGCTGGATTCAAGAATTCGGCTCGTAAATTACTGGCGGCACGCAGGGCATTCATTTAGGTTAAGGGTTGATAGGCCCAGCACGGGAAGCACTACACCTTTACAATCGTGCAAAAGATTTCGCATTTTTCTGTAGCCGGTCGCGCGATAGTTGGGATAAGGGAGAGGTTTTTGCGCTGAATGTATAGAAAGAAATACACGCCTTCTTAGATTGCGCCTAGTCAGTATGGAGGACAGATTGTGTAGATGAGCAGTTGGTCGCTATATTAATTTGTAGTACTGCAGACTGAAAAGATGGGCTGTTAAAAAAGGAGAATACAAGGAAAAGAACAAATTCGACATTTCAGAATGAAATAAAGACAGCCTTCTGTTTGAGATGAGTACTTATACAAGGCGTTTTTCAAATATCCCATATTTATTTAATTGTCCTTCATTAACATAACGTTTTATGATTCCTGTAATAAAGCGCAACTTTTGTATTCATATCCAACATGCTTGTTTTACTATATACGTAAAAATACGGCACCTCCACAGCAACGCGTAGAGGTAGGTTGATACTGAAAGAGTTACGATCGTACCGTAAAATTGGATTTTGCTCGTTAGAGAGCAGCCAACACAACACGAATAAAACAGTTGCCAGAAACGTCACTCCCTATAAATGCGTGATCGACGGGTATCCATATGTCCAGACAAGCAAATCGTTAGATCAGTACTTCCAACTTGTTATAAATCGACTTTTACGAGGGAGAGAAAGAAATTACATTAAACACCGCAAGAAACAAGTTTTTTTGTTTATATTAATCTCCTTGCCTAACTCTAGTACAAATGCTTTACCTCATTTGCCTAATCGTATGTTTGAGAACGTGTTTCGTGCGTGCGGCGTCAGTTTACCTTTCTGTGTCAACAATCGTTACGATCAGAGCCCCTCGATATCGAGTTTACTCGGGAATTGCAGAACTACTCGATTACAAAAAAAATCTCGCCCCCCATTTGGTTGAACGGCATTCACATGTCCTTGTTTTCTTTCGTTTTCGTCATCCAAATGCAACAACAGTAAATTCCAGGAAATAGCTTCTTTCAATATTAGAATAAGGGCAAAGGGAGAGTCAAAATTAGGCATACATGATGGGCAAGGATGACAAGCTAGCTAGTTGCCGACCAATGCAGTGTGTAAATGCTTGTTACTCACATAATTTAGCTATTCTAGGCTACTTACGGTACTTAAAGTTCAGTTTTTTGTCCTAATTGATTTACTGAAGCGATCCGCCGATGCCAATATTAATTAGTTCGAATCTGAGCGGCACTCTCATCCATAAAGGATGAGAGTGCCACTCAGAGCTGCTTTGGTATAATAGTGACGTTCGCTGGCGTCTGTAAGATCCTGTTGAGTCTATCTGCGCTTACAAATATCATGTTTTGACGCTTCCGTCATTTGGTCTCGTATAACAACGTATGCCTCTACTAAATATGTTTCAATTCATTTTCTTCTCGGTGCAGTAAAGTAGCTCCTATATATAGGTTAGCGTTGCGAACGTCACGTAACCAAATAATGTAGACACGCCTGAAAAGCTAAGCGTTCGGTGTTTTAGGCTAAATTTACTATACGCATATAGTTTTATATATGCTCTTATAGTTAATAGACTGACCTAGAATACATACACTGAATTAAAAATCTAACATAATAACAGATAATACCAGATTTATTAAGGATTATTTATCATCATTGATAGAACTGCCAATAATCGGTGTTACAAGGAGGGTGCCGCAGGGTAATGACTGCTTTGTTATAATCTCTGTTTGCACATATTTCTTTTAATATGAATAACTGTAATAAATATTTATTTTTTTCAGAGGTACGCTCGTCTTTGTTTTGCTTTCCCTTCCTGCGTTGTTGTATCGTTGGTCTGGATAATACTATAAAATTCTAGGATGGAGACAAATTTAATCAAGGCAAAAATCATCATGTAGGAGTTTTTTACGCATCTATAGCCCAAAGGCGCGTCAACATCGTATCAAGTGCCTTTCCGTTCGTCGCGCTCGACTTACTCGTTGCCGAAAAATATAGCATTTATGCCCTCATTGTCTATATCCTCGCCGAGGGCTTTGTGTACGTAACCACACGTTAATTACAACATAAAATTGGACATTCTGCTTCAAGCTTAG